GAGAGAGAGAGAGAGAGAGAGGTAATGTACATATGTATTTTCATATTTATTGGTTAACATATCTCTATACGCATATGGTGACCCTAGGCCAAGATGTGGTGGGAGACTCGCACTCAAGCCTGGGGTTGCCTTATGGTGTCACCCTTCTTCTCAGGGCCGCAGGGAAGCGTGTGGAGTTGGCCTCCGTAGAAAATCCACTTGTTGATCACTGTCAAAATATAGGAGTTAATTCTATTTGATATACCTTTAACTAGCATCTACATTTGGTTCTAATTGACTAATAACTAAAAAAAAATTAAATTCCTCTGTCTTTTCTTAGAAGAATAATAAAAAATAGATAAATAAATGAATAGTTAGAATGAGCTCACCGCAAGGGAACGTAAAGAGAAAACACGCGAAGGCACCTGTCTGTACTTACCCCACTTGTCACCCAGTAAGACGGGACAAGCGCCGTGCTGAAGCCTTGAGTCAGGCATTCCCACACGATTCATGTTGTACCAGAGAAGCGCCGAACCCCGCTTGGGACGAACACCCGTGCCGACCCAGGGAAAGACGGTCCTGCCACCTAAAACAGAGGGAAATAATGATGACTGAACGAAGGCAAGTAGATAGTTTTACGAATCGTTGGGGTTTAAAAGACAAAAGTTCGTCATTCTTAAATAGTCTACAAAACACATATAAGAAACAAAATTACTAACTGTGAAAGTTTAATATAATGAACATAAAATTGAGTGTCATATAAATCATTGGAACTGAAACCGACATGAATTTACCTTGCGGTACATCTTTAAGATAGACGAGGAAGGTTGCAATGCGATTATTAATCAGTCCTTTATCAATATAGTCGTGATGTACAGTATAATGGCCGCCAACACCGTAGTTCACAACCTATGGATTAAAATAATGATTTTACTTTTCGTCTTGACTCCTTTTCTTTAACATTGCTTCTCAGTCCTCCTTCCTTCCTATTTATATGTCTTTTCCTTTCCATGCTTTTCCCCTCACTCGATTCCTGACTCCGCCCCCTCCCTCCTCACCTGGTACATCTCTGCGCCGCGGTTCTGCTGAGCGTTTACCCCGGCTATTTGTTCAATCCGGTGAGTGAGCTCCGAGAGGACGGGGAGGTCGCTGTCCAACATCCAGGCCCTGGAGAGGAATTGAGGAATAGAATTCACAGAATCAGCGTAATATCTTTAACACTGTTTAATGAACTGATGCCTATTGCGGGGGACGTTTGGTTTGAATCCTTACGTCGAACTCGTCCTCATGAAGCTCTCGGCGGAGCCGCCGTTCGCCCTGATAGTGGAAGACCTCATGAGGTAACGGGCGCTGGCGTCGACGAGGTCGGCGGCCTCGGAGGGCGTCACCACCTCCTCCAGCGTCACCACGTACGGGTCCAGCGACTGCACCTCCATCCTCAGCGGCCCGATCTTGTAGAGCGGCGAGCCGTTGGTCACGTAGCGGCAGTACAGGCGGGACGTTACGTCAACTGGCTGTTGATATAATTACCTCCGCCAAGGAGGTTTTTGGTATCATTGGTTAGTTGGTTAGCTGGTTGGGCAGGATACATAAAAAAGTTATGAACAGATTTTTTTATGAAACTTTCACCAGAGGTAAAAGATGTCATTAAATTTTGATGATGATCGAGATTATTGCATCCCTTACCCTTGTTGCCTTGGCAATAGAGGTAACTATTATCATTATCATTATCTTTATTATCTGCGTCAAGGACGTTATGTTTACTCACGTCACCAGTGTACTCAAGAAAGAAGTAATTGTAAGGTATTTTTTTCAAGTGTGAATATTTTTATTGCATCAGTAACCCTATTGCCTTGGCTTAGCTATACGTTCTCTGAGTGCTTCTAGTTTTCTTTCTTATTAAAAGACGACTGGTAACCATCATCACACATATACTGGTGATCATCGTAAATATATTTATCTTCGTAATAACCATTGCTATTTCGGTTAGGATGACCACCTTCATATGTGATACTGAAACTCACTTTACTATTACAATATCGATATGACAAAGTAATTATTACTATCATTACTATTCAAATTATCCTTATTTTTTCAAGTATGCTTCCCCGATAAAGCGTTTGAACACAGACACCTTAATCTACATCACAAGACTAAGAATCACTGTCACTCATCGCATTTCTACCCAAGGGACACTTTTCACAATATCCCGCACTCACCCTGAGGTCCTCGCCGCGACACAGCCGGTAGTACTGCTTCTGGCCCTGGATGGAGTTCCCGAGTTCCCCCAGAACAACCTCGTCCTTCTTGTGGTATTTCTTCTTCCTGGCCAACGTCTTGTTGAAGGGCCTCTCGTATGTGCTGTGGAAGGTCGATCGCGGCCCTTTCCTCTCGAGGATTTGGTCGTGCTGCAAAGGGGGAGATGGTTACTTTTAATGTTGTTTAGCGATGAGATAGATTTGTCTCTATACATCATTCGTTAACTGGGGATCATGTGTTGGTCATGTTGGAGGTCATGTGATAAAGGGAGTCAGCGAGGCATTTGACACAGATATGGGAACGACGATAAAGGTTTACAAAGGAGATTAAATGAAAATGACTAAAATATGATGATGGCGTAAATCAGATACACGCAAAGAAAATCCAGGACACGTACAAACTTTTCGACTTTCCTCAGGTCAGTCTGACGGAGGTTCCGGTGGCGGTCGAAGGTGTCCGAACTCTTAACGAAGGAGGCGTTGCCGTCCCAGCGGTCCAGGGCGGCCCGCAGGAAGTCCACGCCGGAGTTCAGGACGTTGTGAGACACGGCTTCGGAGCCGATGCGGTGCAGGTCGAGGGCTGTGAGCATATTGATATGAGTAATGTACCAATTACAAATCAACGATTAAGAGGTCTACAGATTTCAAACCTTATATTGTGTGGCAAGCAATACGTCTTGTGGAGCTTACAGGTTTAAAAAGATTTAGGGAAATGAGACCTATTAGCGCGACAAAACATATAAACACACTAACACACACACACACAAAAACACACATGTCATATATATATATATATATATATATATATATATATATATATATATATATATATATATATATATATATATATATATATATATATATATATATATATATATATATCACTGAATGTGCATGTATAGACACATGTGTATTGATACATATATGCAAAAAACTATTGTGACTAGATTATAGAGACAACCTGAAGGCGTGATCCCGCAGGGCACCGGGCGGGCGTCGATCGCTGAGACGAGGCGGGTGGGCGAGGGCGGTGAGGTTGAGGCTGTAGTAGTCGTGCAGCCTGGCCATCCCGCCCGCGACCGTGGCCAGGTCCTCGCCCGTGGGAACGCCGCGCTTCTCGCTCCGGGACAACAGCCACTCTGGGGGATGTTGGAATCGATCATCCTATTACGTATGGAAAGGTAGACGAAATAACACAACAGTGATCGCCACAGAATTCACCTTGATATAAATCATTTTTAAACGAGGTTATAACGTCATTAATTTCCGAAAGTCGTGACCGAGGGAAGTTATGTAATAATATGTCCTTAGCGGAAATCGCTTCCTGATTCACCTGCAGTTGAAGTTCAAGTTATATTACCGCAAAACACGTCACGCCTTACCTGTATCCTGCGAAAGATTGGAGACTGCTTGCAAGGCGGCCTCCACGTGCGGCCAGCCCAGACTCACGTGCTTGGTGAGGGCGTAGGCGTGCAGGGGATGGCTCGCGAAGCCCTCTGCCTCCACGCCCGCGGCCACGAGCTCCTCCCAAGACGACAAGTACCTACAAGACCACGAGTTGTCAAAAGGGCTTGAAATTAGTCGTCATTAGTCACCGGGAATTCATGGCCTGGCGAGCGTCCTCCAGTACTCGCTACAACTGGCGAAATTAATAAAACTGCCAAACGACATGGTTACTGAGGCCTTGGTGGGACATGGGAAGCTAAAAGAAAAGGAGACGCAGGTGAGTCCCGCATGCATACTGGGACGACTTCCGGGACTGATAGGACAGGTTAACAGCATTTACAGAGCTTGGCTTGGCTAAATGAGAGCTCTAGGCAGTCGAAAACGTGATAATCAGTCAAGTCTCTTACATCCATTCCCTTTCTCGTCCTCACTGAGAGGAGTTATGGTTAATTTATATTTTTTTCTTATTTTCGTTGCGAATAACAATGCACGTGAGTATTAAACCTGCCGGTACTGGAGATCACAATACTAGCACACAAACTTATATAAATTTCCCGATTCATGTTGAGACCAATACAATTCTTATCCTCGGTATAGCTATTACTTCGGTTACTGTTATTGTAATACTAGCACGTGTCAATTGTCAATCATCCTAATAATATATGGAATACCCCTTTATTCTACTTATCTACTCAAGGGTATCGTTGTGTGTCGTCCCTTAACACAAACGGATGCACACATATCTCTAATGTGAAAATCACCTGCACTTCTGTAGCTCCGCAGGTTACCGTTTAATCTTCAGTAGGGAAAGGCTAGATCAGTAGCAACTCGGTGTCATCGCGTCTGATTTTGAAGTCACAAAAGTTGCGATTCTAATTTTAGAAAAGCACATAGGAGTTTATTATTCATTTTTGTCTTCAGTTTTCAAAAAGTATGGAGAATAATTATTTTAACGGTTATATTTTCAATGAACAATCATCAAAATAGCCCTGTGGATGAGAAGAGTGGGCGATTATGTTTATGCATGAATGATTCTCAAGGGGAATTGCTCGCAGTGGGAGTCGAGCCATAGGCCTGTATTTTTTACTCAGCTTGAAGGAATTAAGTTTACCTACTTTTATCAATACCTCCATACACTCAATGAATGAATGAAAGGCATTTTATTCAATGTGTGGAATACCAGGCCTGGCTATTTTTAGAATAGCATATGTTCATGTTTACATTTTATACAATATCCAACTGTTTAAAGTTTCAATGGCTTGACATAATTGCCTACTCTTCTCATCCACAGGGCTATTTTGATGATTGTTCAGTGAA